CTAATGATTTTGAGGTTATAAGAGTTGTGAAAGAAATTAAATGTTTTTAAGATTGATGTACTTTCGCAGATTATATAGGTTTTGGTGATGCTTAAGATTTTTTTGCACTATCTGACACTGCTGCCAAGTTGTTGATTATTAATTAGCAGGCTTTTTGGAAAGTACAGTATTGGATTGTTCCAATAGATAGAGTTATTAGGTTTTGGATTGGACTTTGGTTTGGTATATGTAATTTGAATTGACTTGTCTTCAACTAGCTGATTAATTCTTGAGGTTATTGATACGAAATTGATCTTGGTCATTCTTCTTGAATAACTGAAAGTACTTTGAAGTATTTTCCTATTGTTTCTGATTTCTATCGTGCTATTTAATGGACATCAGTAGAAAATATCGAAGAGAATGTGCAGAAGATTACCTGATGGATGGCTTGAGTTGGTTAAGTCAATTCTAAAGTCATTTGTGATGACTTTGCCTTGGTAGAGTTGAAGGTGATAGTATTGATGAAATCCAATATTTTGAAGTATTGAGATGGAAGGGGAAGTTAAAAAATTGTCGACAGATTAAAGAATATATTATATTTAAAAACTTAGTATTATAGATAAATAAACTAAATTAAAAAGACCTGTGAGTCTATAGCATAGTGATTAGTACTCTGCAGGTCAGGTCACAAAATATCAGTTCAATCCTATGTAAAGGTAGTTGAATAGAATTAATATGATATCTGATATAGTTTCTATAGGAACATAGCATACTGGTAAATAGCTAGCACTTCTGTAAGGAGGTTGCGAGTTCAATACTGAATGATGGCAGTACATACCTGTTGGACCAATTCGCAGGGGTCATTGTAGTAAGCATCAATTGCCTGACTGCTATAATATCATTATCCAATGGACCAGTGTAAAAAGCAGGAACCCATGTTCGGTAGTCCCTGACCAGCGACAACCTGGATTCAAATCTACCATAATATGGGAAAATGTGCTGTGAGTTTCTCATAGGAGATCTTGGATCTGTTAGAAACGTCAGATTGATCATCAAGGGGGCTGGTGTGGCACCGGTAAGTGTCAATTGCCTGACTACCGGTACGCACTGGAGGTGGCTATAACTATACCTGTCAAAGTGATACTCATATAGTAGAAACTTTCCCTCCCCCAACAAGACCTATGGGTCCATCGCTCAGTGGTTAGAGCACCATAGGTCTGTATAACAAGCTATAGGTTCAACTTCACTAGGGGGCTAATATGATTCCCCAATTAATGTGGAAACTTGTATACCATCGGCCTAACTGTATAATAACTGATGCTTCTAATTATAGGAAAAAAAAACTGGTTTATAAATAGATTGTGATTTGATCGACTGTCTGAAATCAACTAGGATTATCTTCGACACAATCACGTTGCCAGAAATGGTAATAAAAAGAGTAGATCCTAAACCGGTGAAGTGCCTCTGAAGGATTTCTAACGGTTACATTGAAGGATACTAATCAAGCATTTGGTTATGCCCCTTTTCACAGACTTTACTATCGGGAGGCCTTAGTGGAAGGTGAAAACCGTGGATCACTCTAAAGGATCAAAAACTAGGGTTCAGGATACTGTAATTGATGGCCTGATAACCAGAATACTTTTAATAAAAATTGTTCTGGGAAAAATTAAGATGGATTTGTGCATCTTTTTGAAAACAAAGTTTAAATAGTAACTATATATAGCATTAAGTTAAATGATATATAGCTAGTCATATATAAATAAGTTAATTATAAACATATATGTATAATACTTGTTGAGTATATTTAACAAAACACCTTAAAAAGTTTAGTAGGGATTAGATATAGTATTTCGTAAAATTGGTGCTACTGTATCTTATGTACTAAAGTATATATTTCAATAAAAGATATGGGAAAGAACTGGCATAAGAAAATGATAGAATGGTTTGTAGAGTACAAATGAAACGCAAATTATAACAATTTTATAAATATCTTATTTACTAATACTAATGGAGCCTTGGCATATTAGTCCTAATCAATTTTCCATAGAAAACTCTATAGAATAAATTAGATAGCTCAAAGCTGACATTTGGGAAACCCGATGTAATCCAATATACAAACAATAGAATTGAGATTAGAACATATATATAGGAACACCCTATAATAAATGTAAACATCAATATTAATAAAGTATACTGGACAAAGCCTGGCTAGTGTTATAAAAAAAAAATATGGTATCTGATATCATAACCAATCATATGTTGTTTTTTATAAGAAGCTATTTCATATACTAATCTAGCAGATATTGAGATTGTGATTTTCTGTTAAAGATGTTATGGTGTAATGATCATTCAGTTAGTGTATAATGATCATTGTGAAGTTTTTTTATATATAGGTTGTATAGGTTTTCCTGTATATGTTGTATTCAATAAGTCTCATCTCGATTTTCTCTCAGGATTTTCTAATTTGGAGCTATTCCAATCTGGCGCTTGTTTAAAAGAAGTCGATCTTTGGAAACCACAAGTAGTAACAAAAAACAAGTATTCCCTTTGAGGGTCCAAACAAAAAGTATCGAGGTATCTAAAAATTTTATTAATCTTTGCAGAATAGATATAAGCTCTCAGAAAAATAGATTATAGGTTAGATAGTTTAAACTATACATGTGATGGAATTGAATTCAATCATTTTTTAAAAACCATATTATAATAGAATTACTAAATAATATATAGTAATTAATTGGAATTCGTATTTAATTTGGAATTGTATTGTCAATCAAATTTTCTTTTATGGTAATAAAACCACATATATGGTTTAAACTAGTGATAAATATTCTTTTCTATAGAAACCCTACCCAACATATTGGATTTATCTTTAAATATAATTCTTATAGTTGGATTTAAGATAAATAATAAGTTGTTACCTAAATAAGGCAGTATTAGTTAAGTTAGAACTGTTATCAAATATAATCAATACAAACAAGCAATTGTTTCAATTGTAAAAGACACTTGATGTATTTTCATTTATACAAATATCAATAAAGATTTGCATTATTGTATATTTATTTATAAAAAAAATAAATAAATAAAAATAAACTAAATTAAAAAGTTTATATATGCAATATTTATAATATTTAATATTAAAAATATTATAAACAAGTTATTATTTATAAATAATAAAGATTTTATCAAATACTAATGATTATTTATTATTTACCTTAGGTTTTAAATATTATATAGATGTGTTATATATTTAGATATTTTATAAAAATAGAAATATTAAATATTTCAAGTTTCAAATATTCTAGAGAAATATAGTTTGAACTATTATATTTCAATTATAATACTTTTTATTTTTACTCTGTATTACTTATTTAATATATAATCAAGTTTTTTTTAATTATATTAATCATATTAATATTGTTATATTAATTTAATTAATAAATAATTTTAGCTTGATTAAGTATTAAAAAAAAAATTAAAATTTTTCAAAATAAATTTTAACTATAATATAATTTTTTAAAAATTTAAAATAATTAATATCACAGTATACTGTATAATATTAATATAATATAAATTTTTTTAATATTATATTATTGTATTTTTATGCAAATGTTTTTTTGTTATAAATAAATATATTATTGATTAATTAATTAATATAAAACTTTAAAAGTATTTTTAAAAAAATATATGGTATGTAGATTATAATTTAAAAATACGATATTTTATTCTATGAATATTTCATATAATATAATAAATTATTTATTTATTAAGTTGTTTTTTATATTAGCATTTGTTTAATTTTAATAAATTTTAATAATGCGTTATTAAAAATCCATTAAACAAGTTTATTCTCTATATTTTTAGAAAAATGCATATTTAAATTTTTATTTTATTTTATTGTCCATTTATTAATATATAAATAAAAAATATAAATTAAAATTTGCTTTAAAACTTTTTAACCAAATAATTAAATAATTTGTGTAAAAGTTTTGATGGACGACTAATTAATGGTAACAATTGCACGTAATGTAAATTTTTTCCATTGATCGATAATTTTATATTTATTTGAAAGTTTTTATCAGAAATATCTATCAATTATACTATCATATTTAAGATTTCGCTAAAACAGAAAACCTCCACCGATTATTTCAACTTGCGTAATCGCAGACACTACATATAGCTAACCGTCTGATACCTCAGAACTTTGTTCTAATGTGTTTTTTCAGGAAATATGTTCATTGAAAACATGATTTTCATGAAATTCCTATTGCATACCAAAAAGATTGATGTTGAAAAATGCTGTACCAACAACTCATGAGGATGAAGCTATGTGCCCAATTTGATCACCAGTGTTCTTTTTCCATACATAAATTTCGTACTTTTCTTACTAACAATACCATTAGATAATTAATTAAACCTCTGTTTTATCACGACTCACGTTTCTGAACAGATATTGACAGGAAAAAAAAATTCATTCACTCTCAAAAAAACACGACAAATAGTTGGAATTAAAAGACCTAAATAACGCGTAATTTCTAACTTTATCCATACTTTTATGTGCATGAAAGCAGTTCATAGTTTAATCACTGAATTATACTGTATAACTGCCCTCAAGATACGAACCTTCCTCCAAATAGAATTGATCAAGATATAATATACAGTACGAGATAAGAACGTCCATGATTACTGTATGCGTATCCTCTTCACGATAGAATTGTTAGAATAAAACCTTTGACAATAGAATTATCGGCGAATAACTATAACATCGCCGATTATAACTATACCTATTATTGACCGAATTGAAGTTTGTGTATTGGTCGACCTGATCTTCAAGATGCTAGTTAACGCCCGAACTTTAATATTCATTAAGTTCCATATCAAGTTTCGGAAAATTGTGATGGGAATTATCGAATTATGAGAGACGGTATCAAGCTTTTCTTTATAAAAGGACTATAGATTATTTACGTTTTAAGCTAAGTAAGTTCCTTTGATCAAATAAAAGAAACTTCCAAAAATTAGCGATCATGTCTTCATTGCGCAAACAAAATAAGTCTGATTCTTGTCAAAAAGATCTTGCAAAAATCCTCTCCAGTAAAACAACCACTACTTCCACTACAAAAAGAAAATGGTCTTTTGTAAGGTCCTTGTATTTTTTATGTTGTCAACATTTGAACAAGTTAATTTAGATTCTCACGTATGATTTAAACAGTTTAATGAAAAGGATTTGGAAGAAGCCTCTGAGCTTACTAGAACTTACTATATACTCGCCAACGACAAAACTAAAGATGATCCTATTAAAGCAGTCTTAGAAAAAGCCGCCAAAGACGTTAAGACCAAAGATGCTCACATGGTTCAATATTCTTTGATGACGTTCATTACACATCATCCTGAAGCAAGAAAAAGAAATCTCCATATCCCACCATTGACTCAACGTAGCCCAGGTCTTAGCTTACCAAAAAATCGTTCTCTCTCTACTCCAGGACCTTTTATTGGCAACAATCCAACTAAACCGGCAACTGATATTTCCGAAGATCTTCTTTATTATTGGCGCGAAGATCCAAATTTCAACGAACATCACGAACATTGGCATATTATATACCCAGTTTTTAGTGACGACCCAGAACACCCTGAAGACAGGACTAAACAATTCACTAAGGATCGTCAAGGTGAAATTTTCGCCTATATGCATAGGCAGATGCTTGCAAGGTGACTATTATCGCTTTTAATTACATGTCAAATGTTAGAGATGTATCATTCATGCTTTATGCTTCCATGCAGATATGATGCCGAGCGTATTGGGGTTGGTTTGAAACCCGTTAAACCTTTAGACAACTACAATGAAGTTATTCCGGAGCCCTACAATCCCAGCGAACATTTAGTCGATAGTAGTGATGCAACAAGCTATGCAGCTCGCCCAGCTAATCAAAAATTAAAAGACGTCAGTAAGTATAAATTATTCGGTTGATATCAAAGTTTTGCCCATTAAACAAACAATATATTTTCAATAGCTTTCTATAACGAGAAAGGTGAAGCAGAACACGTTGTCAAAGTTTCTGAATTGGAAACAGATAGAGACCTTATAATCAAAACCATAAAACAAGGTTATTTCGATGATCCAAATAAGACCAAGCTCACTCCACATCTGATCGGCCTTGCCATTGAAGCTGGTCTTGCCAGGCAAAAAGGATTTGAGAAGTATGGTGCTTTCCATAATAATGGTCATATCTTGCTAGGTTTTATCGCCGATAAACCAGGTGGTGAGTATCATTTAGTGATTTTTTGTGTTGATGATATCTTTTACAAATTTCTCTTCAGTAAATGACAGGGGAGTAATGGGTGATGTACGTGTATCTGCGCGTGATCCAATATTCTGGAGGTGGCATAGGCACGGTAATATTAATTTTGAATAGATATATATATATATATATATATTTGCGTTCAGTAGGCTGTTACTGATGCGCTGATGTTATTAAATTAGTGGATGATTTGTATAACCTATATCAGGAGACACTTGGACCCCATAATTTCGACGATTGCCCACCGGTGAATATTTGTCAGAACGGTATTATTCTCACGTTTAAAGACAAGATTCCCAATATCAAGGGATTAAAAGATCCACAACAAGATAACGAGGCTACAAAATGGGGCGAACTTGAATTCGGTGGGCGAAATTTTGATAAAGAACCAAATCCTCAGTTTGCTACTTCTACTTTGGAAACAAAGATGAAGACAAGAGTGTGGACGTGGATTGAAGACGATAATAGATCTTCATCCGTTGAATATCTGTTTCCAAGAGAATGGTACTATTTCTTCCGCGTCGAGAACACATCTAACCAGGTAATTACTTAGCATCAACATCACTCGTTTGTTACTGAAAACAAATCTCTAAAGTTTCAAAGAATATTGCCGTTACATTCCGTGTATTCTTTGCTCCCGATGAATTTGTCAACAAAAACCAAAATTGGATCGAATTGGATAAATTCAAACAAGAACTACCCGCACGGAAAAAAGTTGTGATAGCACGTGATTGCGATCGGTCATCAGTTGTGAGACAACCACCGCAGAAAACAGAAAATGAGTTGGATGACACTGTAAGTCTCCAGAATTCCAACGGTGACAAATACTGTGATTGTGGGTGGCCATTCCATCTTTTATTACCGCGTGGAACGCGTGATGGTTTGAAAGGAAAGTTACTAGTATTCATTAGTGACTGGGCGAAAGATGAAGTCCCGCAAGTTACCAGATGCGGTAGCTTATCTCTATGTGGGGCGGAGAAGCCAAAAGATAAATATCCTGATAAAAGAACTCTTGGGTAAGTATTCTTATTTTTACCAAAAATAAAGCGAGTGTTAATAACCTATTTATTTTTTAGATATCCATTTGATCGACCTTTCAAGAATGGGTCTTTTGAGAAGGTAATTGTCAAAGATTACTTTGCATATTCATAAATTACTATCTTATTTATCAAATTGATTTATTGATCGTGCAGACCTTCAAAGGATTACGAAACGTCGCGTACAGGGATGTTTGTATCCGCTGGGTTGAAAACTTCCCCGATTTTACCGTTTAAGTTCTATATAACGTAAAGGACTAAAGATGTCAAATCACTATTTGTCTTAATGAGAGACACTAATACGTATAATGATTTATGTGAGGACAAAATTTAGTCATCAATACGAACTGCATTTAATAAATTCATTAAACTTGATTTTTACTGGAATTCGACTTTTATTTTACGTTTATTTTTTGGTGTATCCATCATAACGCAAAACATCGTTCCTCTACAAGTAAACGTATATTTTGTAAGGAGCAAGCTAACATGCTTATGATTTTTTTAAAGAACGTGTAAGTCAATTTTAAAATATTTTTCAAAAACATTTATTTATTTTTTGTAAGTTAGTTTTAAATTTTTTTTATGAAATAAAATGATATTATTTATATGAAAAATTTATTTTTCAGTGAAGGTATAAATGCTGGCACTTTATTGAATTCTAGCAGTGATATCAAAGGTCCTATACTACTAATACTACAAGCAAATTATCCTTACTCATTGGTCATATCCACGTCACATTGTTATTTAACTAAAAAGAGAGGTTCCGGAATGTCTCTATCTTTATTATCTGATTTTCAAATATTTGTTAATAATCCTAGCCCTCTGTAGTCATTATTCTTATCATTTGCAACTGATATATTTTAAATGTTAATTAGGTTTTGCATTAGGTTGGAATAGATAAAACTAGAAACCAAATATTATTGAATAAATATTGTGGCACGAGTTTTATATCGTAGTTAAACCAGAAGCCTTTTTTGTATAACTTTCATATTAATATATTTCATCTTAGTAATTATTAAAAAAAAATCAAAAGCCTCTTTTTAATACAACCTAACTTAATTTTATAATAGCTAGAATTGAAGTTAATTATATAATACAGTGACTGCAAATTTGAGATTTTAAAAAGTTCTCTCATTTTTAATATCCCTGAGTAATTTAAAAAATAATCATAATTATAAAAATAGTAATAATAATAAAAATTAGTTTTGTATTTTTATATAAGTGTTCTTTAAGTTTTTAAATAAAGCCAAGCTTTTACAACAAAAAAAATATATAAAGTCTTAAGTAATGTTTTCATAATTAGAAATAAAATTAGAAATAAAATATAATTAAATATAAGACAAATAATTAAAAAACAAGCCAATTAATTCCAAAATTTAGAATTATTTTACAAAAAACAAATTCAAATATATTTTATAATATTTTATGAAATATTTTAAAATAATATTTAAAGATCATATATATATTTAGAAATGCAAAATTTTTAAAAATATTTCAATCAGTTTCAAGTTTTACAAAATATTGAATTAATTTATTCTTTTAACAAAAAAGCTTTAGAATGTTTTGAAAATCTACAATTTTAGATTTATAATGTTTAAATTTTAATTTTTAAAAATTATTTTTAAAAATTATAAATATAAAAATTTTAGATTCTAAAATTTTTTAAAGTTTTTTTATTTTAAGTAACTTATAATAAAATTTAATTTTTTTTTGTAAAATTCTTTGAACTGATCAAAATTTTTTTAAAATTTATATATATTATATTTATTTCAAAGATCTTTAAATTATTTCAATATAAAATTTTTTTTAAAAGTAAAGATCTTTAAAGTTTTTTTCAAAAAAATTTTTTGATAAAATATTCAAGTTATAATTTATTTATTAATATATATATAATATTTAAAGTATAATAAAAAACTTATATAAATTAATAATTATATACTTTTATAAACTATTTTATACAATAGTATATTTTTCTTAATATTTAAAATTTAATATCTATAATATTAAATTAATCTTAATAAATAATTTATATTAGTTAAATCAAAACTTGTGATTTTAATTAACAATAATTTTTTTAAACTTAATTATTATAAAAAAAAATTTTTTATTTTTCATTACAAATAATTTTCAAAGCATTTCAATTTCATTAAAATATTAATAGACAAATCTATAAAAAATAGAAACCTTATTATTAGTTTTAAACTACTTAACCTATTTATAATTTAACTTATAAAAAAGGTGTTTTTATTAAAGAAATTAGTTCAAATATCTTTTGTTACTTTATTGTTTAAATTATAAATTATAAACTTCTATTAATTTTAGATTTATATAAATTATTATTTTTCTTATTATTTATAATAGGTATAACTTTTTAAACTCTATATCAAATTAAAATATTTTAAGCTAAAACTTTAACTATTATTAAAAAGTATCAATTAAAAATAGTTAAAATAAAATAGTTTATCTTATATATTTAAATATAACTTAATATAATTATTTATTAAGATAAAATATAATTCAGTTTATATATTCAAATATAATTTTTTTTTCTAACAATTATTATAATATTAATTAAATAATTATTACAATATTGTATTTTTTTTAATTCAAACACATTTTAATATAATACAATAATTTTTTATTTAATAAGATAAAATAATAGATTTAAATATAACAAATCAAATAATAAATTTTTAATACAATAATATTAAATAACAAATTTTAATATAATAAATTATTATAAGTGACCTGTGAATCCATAGTATATTGGTTAACACTTTATAGATCAAATTACAAGATATTAGTTCAATCCTATATGAGAGTGATTAAATAGAATTAATATAATATTTGACATTATAACCTGTTAAAAGTATTGTTTTTTATAAGAAACTATTTTACCATTAATTTAATAGGTATTAGAATTGTAATTTTCAAAAAAGATATTGTGACACAATTATCATCTAGTTGGTGTTACAATAATTGCTAGAAGTTGCAAGGTGTATCAGATATCTACTTTCAACAAGTAGGTTTGGTAATTGCTTCTTTTAATATCTCATATTTTTTATACAGATCCCTGCTCTAATCTTATTTCAATTCAGTAATAAACTGGTCTGATAGTACTTATTTTGAGAAGATATCTGGCAATAAGTCTATTTCTTGCATATTTATGTAAGTCAGTGTTCAGGCAGTAAGAACCAGTTATAAGTTTATCTTGAATATTCTTGAATATTATTTGAACAGATAAAAAATCAAATGATTAATTCAGTTGCAAGTAATAGTAAAGAAATTTATTTCTGATAAAGCAAATAGAAATTATATAGTTTTATTTACCATAGATATTATCCTTAGTACTTCTTTTCAACTTCTTCTTAATTCTTTTTCAGTTAGAAATAAAGCTTAATTACTAATAAAAATGTATGCTATTGATCAAACAAAATAAGTTTCTTTGTTTAATAAATTAGCTTTTATACCTAATACAATTAGAAATAAGCTATAGTAAAGGTTATTATATGCCAGTACTAAAAAACTCTTTCCTGATCACATCCGTTTTGTTAAAAATTTTCCTTTTATAGTAATTTTAAGCAAGAAAAAATGTTTTATACTCTTTATCACAAGTGAGCCCCAGCTTAGGAATTTAAGAACCTTCAAGACAACTGGTGCAGTAGGATGGAACCTTTGGTCGAAGTCTATTAAAGTTTGGGAGTCTTGCTTATCCTTCGGTTGCATAAGAAAAGACCTGTGGCAGTTCTCTTTTCTTTAGTTCTCTTGCACCCCACCTTATCCTTATTATATTATAAAAACCATCTATATTATCACTATTATACTTGCCAAACCAAATACTTTTCAAAACATATTTACAAACAGAGTTGGTGGATCTACTGTTTGTTTTAAGTCAACCCATATACACAATATTTTCATAGCAATATTT